ATTGTGAAGACTAAATGAGAAATGTCACATGTAAAACACGCAGACTGTGGTTTGGCCCATAGGTCATGCTCACAAAGTGTTTGTACTTGCTTTTATTACAGAGAAAGTTGGTGTCCCATCATGGGGGAAACACTTGGTCCCCCACAGTGCATTCTCTCTCCCTCTCTCTCTCTCTCTCTCTCTCTCTCTCTCTCACTCACACACACAATACCCAGTCTTGCTTATCTTCTGTTTTCACAGTGACACACAGGTCGATGTCTGTTGTAAGACTCCCTAGGTGACTGAGCTGTTGACATTATCTTCTCTACCAAATTAGTTCCTCTGAATTAGGGACAGCCCAGCCAGGAAGCCGGGAAAATCACCCAGCAGGTCTCTCTCCTTGGAGCTGGACTCAGGCCCCATCCATCCTGATAGTCATCACGTTTGGTTCAGGCCATTGGCTCTTGTTTGAACGGTGTCAGCAGCCTTCTTTCTAACAGCGATCCCCTCTCTTCTTTCTGCCTCCCCAATTCCTTTAGGGGGAACCAGAAGCTACAGTTCTTTGTAAAACACCATGAACTATTGATATATTAAACTTTAAATTGTAAACAAAGCTCTGATTCTATGCTAATTCTAGCATTCTCTCACACTACTGACACATACTAAAATCTTCAGAAAAATGTATGTGGGAAAACACCTTAAAACAACAACAAAAAATTATATTCATTATAATTAATCTACCTTCTTGCAAATTAGAAAAATATGACTGGTTTTAATTCATTGGTAAACCTCCCCAACTTGGCTTGAGGAACACCTGGGTTCCTCAAAGGGCAAGTTTGAAAACCATTGCTCTAGTAGTTCAAGTCCAATTGTTCCGGCCTCACATTCAAGACCTTTGCACTAGGTCTCCCAGACTGTCTTATCTCCAGGTATTGGACCATGCACAGCCCATGATCCACCCGTACCTGATACCCACCTTTCCCAGAACTTCCATGTCTCGGGCCTTCATTCAACCTGCTCCTCCTGCTTGATATGCTCTTCCCTGCCCTGCCTACCTGGGAAACTCCAGGTTCACATATAAATTTCTCTGATGTTATTTTCCAAAACCCTAGGTTGAGTCAACTCCTGCTGCCTTTGTGTTTTCTCTGGACAGGTGTTGCCGCCTTTAGTCTCTTATTTATGCATGTGCCCACTTCCCCCTCCAGGCAAGAGTGGAACTTGTTTTGTGTATCTCCCTGATGCCAGCACCCAATATGGGGCCTGGCACCGGGCAGGTGTCATAAATATTCCATGAGTTGAAAGTAATTGAATTTCCTCATGGCCTGGCCCTGCCTGTGGTGCCGTCTCCTTTACCTTAGATTTGGGTCACTCCAGGGCAGGACTTTTCTTGTTCTTCCCTCCTCTCTCTAGGATTATAGAAGTTTGTGGTCTTTTTCAAGTGAAGCAGAATGTTCTCTTTTCATCTGTCCACCTGTTGCTTGCGTTCTTTCTGCTTCCATCACAGTCTCTGCCCTGCAGGCTTCCCCTGCACCGAGAGTGGAGGGGTGTGGCATCAGTCAGGTCTAGGTTTGAATCCCAGGCCCACTATGGACTAGCCATGTGACCTTTGGCGAGTACCTGATGCTCTCTGAGTAGAACTTTTCTGGGTATTGCTTTCTGTCTCTTCTCTGCTCCAGTTTCTCTCTCTCTCCATTTCTTCCCCACCTCCCTTTTCCTGCTTCTATTTCACTCCCTGTGACTTTCTAGCTGGTTAATTCTGTCTCTGGTCCTTGCCTATTGTCTTTTTGGCCACCTCCTGGCTCACAAGGGAAGACACCAAGACCCAGGAGTCCTCAGTCCTGCCTCCTGCAGGCCACAGAAACCTCAATTGTGCCAACATCAGTGCGGAGCCAGCAGGGAGCAGAGGCAGTGCACAGGAAGGCCTGGATACACCTTGAACCGCTAGGCGCTGTTCAATGTCACTGCCCACTGGTTAGACCCATCTGCCCAGGGGTCTCTGCTTCCCCAGTCTGCTCTCCATTTGGCTGATCAGGGGACTTATTATTATTATTATTATTTTAAGATATTATTATTGATTTCAGCCCCCCGAACCACTGGAAAGTAAGGTCTAGCCATCATACAAAACATTCCACCTTTTATGAAAATGACATTTCCCAGCTGGTTATGCCTGGTGTAGAGAAGCTAGGGCTGTTTTTTTTGTTTGTTTTTTTTTTAAAGAGACATAAGAACATTTTGCGCTTCTGCTTAATGCTTCAATGGCTTCTCACTGCTCTTAGGGTTTAGCCCATAGTTGTTTGCATGACCTGCAGGGCCTGCCAGCCTCTACAGTTGCCCCTGGCCCCCTTTCCTCCTCTCTCATTTCAGCCCCCTTGGCCTCTCTGCTGCCCAAACCCACCAGCTTCTGCCTTTGCACAGGCTGTTCTCTCCATCAGCAGTGTTCCTCGCCAGGGATTGCGTGAGGCTAGCTCCTTCTCATACTTCAGGTGTCAGCTCAAATGTCACCACATCACTTCACTTGCTCGGGGAATCCCTCCGATTATCTTGTAAGGTAGATCCCTCCACCCCATCCCATTATGTATCACAGCACTCAATCATTTCTTTTAGAGCACACATCTCAGATTGTAATTAGATATTGATTTCCATGTTTGCTATTGGTCTCTCCCTCTAAAATGCAAGCTTCGCGAGGGCAAGGACAATGTCTATATTAATTATTGAATTTAATATTTATTGAGCACTAACTACATATCAGATACCAGGCAGTGGGATACGTGGCAGAGTCCTGGCCCTTAGGGAGCTGATGTTCTAGGGGTGGAGACAAATAATGAATATGCCATAGAGTAGGTGCTTTGTTTAAAACCGAAACAACCTGCTTCCTCCTCACTCTCAGACTCGCTCCCATTTCTCTGGTATATCACTGTCTCATATACCAGGACATTTGCTGGTTTGGGCTGTTTATTTTTATTGTTTTTTTTTTTTCATTGGAATATAAGCTCCATGAGGGTAGGGATTTTTGTCTGTTTTATATCTCTACTCGGACTCATAGCAATTGTTGAATAAATGAATCAGTATCCGGTATTTGTTGATTTGTTCCAGATGGAAGGCAGGTCTCAGCCCCAATTCAATTCAGGCCAGATGACCTTGATTCAATGTTGGTGCTGCTGCATACTAATGCATAACCTTTGAAAAGTCCGGTCTCTCTGTATCTCCATGTCCTCAACTGTGTAGTCGGAATAGTAGGGGTGAAGATTAAATTAGCCCATGGGGGTTAAGCACATAGAAGGTGTCTGGTCTTACAAAGTCATGGACAACTAGTTAGTGGTCACTGTACAAGGGCTTTTACGGGCCTGTACTGCGTAGAAGCCCAAATAATACTTAACCTGTGTAGCCAGTGTAGGCTAGAACCAATGAGAGTTAGTGAGGGAGGTGGGCTTCGCAGAATGAAAAAGAAGTTTCTGAAAGCCAGGATTGCAAGGAGAACTAGATGAATCCCCTATTATTATGGCTGAAGACTTCAGCATCCCTCTGTCAGAAATGAACATTTTCAGCAGGCAGAAAATCAGCAAGGACATAATTGAACTCCACATCATCAGTCAACTGGATATAGAGGACATTTATATACTGCTCCACCCAACAACAGCAGAACACCCGTCCTTCTCAAGCTCATCTGGAATATTCACCAAGAGGGACCACATTCTGGGCCATAAAACACACATCAGCAAATTCAGAAAAATAGAACTCATACAATGACTGCTCTCAGACCACAATGGAATGAAACTAGAATCAATAACAGAAAGAGCTGTAAAATCCCCAAATACTTGGAGATTAAATACTATACTTCTAAACAGCACACGGAGAAGAAATCTCAAGAGAAATGTAAAACTACGTTGAAATAGCCGGGCCACAGTGGCTAAATTGGTTGAGTGTCCTCCTGTGCACTAAAAGGTTGCTGGTTCAATTCCCGGTTGAACAATCAATGTTTCTCTCTAAGCATGTGCTCAGGTGAGGATTAAAAAAACAAAACCCCACTACATTGAACTAAAAGAAAACGAGATGAAAAGGAAAACACAAATTATCAAAATTCGTGAGATTCAATGAAAGCAGTGCTTAGAGGGAAATGTACAGCACCGAATGTATACATGAGAAAAGAAGAAAGACCTAAAATCAACCATCTAAACTTCTGCCTTAGGAAACTAGAAAAAAAGAGCAAATTAAATCCAATCAGGAAGTAGAAGAAAAATAATAAAAACGAGAGCAGAAATCAGTGAAAGGGAAAGCAAGAAATCAATAGAGAAAAACCAACCTAACCGAAAGCTGGTTCTTGGAAAAGGTGAATAACTCAGCAAGCCTCTAGCCAGGCTAACTAAGAAAAGGAGGACGCAAATTACTGAGATCAGAAATGAAAGGAGGACAAAACTAGAGCCCGTGGACATTAAGAGGATAATGAACACTATGACCAGCTCTAAAAGTTAGCATTCCAAAGACCCAAACACTTACTCAAGTGAGGCGATGAGCTTCCTGTCCTTGAAGGTATGTACCAATGCGCACTTGGAGGGGCCTAGATAGAGGGGATGAAAGCAACAGACATCCCACAGGACCCAGGGTGTCGCTGGGTCTCTGTCCCTGAGAGCGCCGTGTGAGAGGGAGGCGTGGGCAACGAGCGCGCTTGCTTGCGAATGTCGGTGCCAGCTCAGTGCAGCCCTAGGCCCAGCCTCAGACCTCCAGGCGCGGGGTGCAGGAGTGGGGGAGGGGAGCGCCGGGGCAGTTGGAGACCCGATCTGGCGGCAATACGGGAGGCTACCAGCAGGGGGCGCACCGAGACCGCGGAACCCGCGG